TAAAAAAAATTTAAAAAAACAAAATTAAGAAGTTGAGAAAATCAATTTTTCTTTTTGGATTTTGATTTTTTTCCTCTTTTTATTTCACTCTTTTTTTTTTTTGCAACATTTTTTTTGGCATTTTTCTTTCTTTCTTTTTTGCGTTTTACTTTTTTTCCTTTGTTTTCTTTTTCTTTTTTCTTTTTTAAAATGAAATGGACAGAAAGAGGAAAAAGTTTAACCAAGCAGCAGCTCCAGATGATGATCCTCAAGAAACTTGGCTAAGTTCTTGTGATGATTTGTTACTTGAGGGAGACCTAAAATGGCTAAAACCATGCAAAACAATGTGGCATAGAAAAACTTTATAATCTTGAAGCTACAGAAGGCTATTTAGACTTTCAACGTTAACTTGGAAGGCTTATACGCAAGGAGAAGAGAAGTATAAACCTGACTCTAGTACCAATTGACGCAGAATGGGTAGGCAAAAGAAAGAAGAAGGAGAATATAGAAGAAGAGTGAGGTAAAGAGAAGGGGAAGGGAGACACTAGAGGGGGAAGACAACAAGAAAGGAGGGAGAAATTAGAAGAATAAAAGGGAAAGAGAACTCAAAGGAGAAGAAACTCAATAATATATTTATTCAAATAATAACACATACGAAGAAAATGAGTTGAGAGTCTATTTCACTAGTATTAAAAAAAAATTTAACGGCGGTTAAAATGAACTTTTTACGATGGTTTTGAGAGCGACTTCTATGCCATCAATGTAAAATGTAGAGGATTTCACAACGATTATGTAAATAACCACCGTGAAAAGTTTTTTTTTTTTTTTAGTCTATGTTTCACCTTATTGATAAGGATGGAATGAGAGAACAAAGCCTCAAAGGAAGGGGTCTGAAAATCAAAACCAATAATCTCTCACTAGTTAAAAGCATTCTGATGGAGCAAACGTAGATTCTTTCCCACCGTAATAACGCTACTTAGGTTCACCTTCAACCATCAGATCGAAGCTACTAAGATTTAATAAAGATAAAATCAAAGACTCAGATCTGATAAAAATCAAATCTCTTTAAACTCATATTAAACATCATATTTTTAACCAAAAAAATAATTATATCAAACCACAAAAACTATGAAATCTAAAGAAAGAATGGAGGTGAAAAACTCACAAATAAGAAAGAAGAGGATAAGGCGATGGCGACGGTAACAATGACAGCGATAGTGATGGAAGAACATGGTAGAGATGATAGAAGCAAAGGATAAACGCCGACAAAGGTAGGAGGAAGGAGAAAATTGAGTAAGGATGGTAATGGGGGACTATGAGCTCTGACTCTGAAAAGTAAAAACTATTGCGTGATGGATTTTAAAATTCTGATAAGACTTTTTACGGCAGTTTTTTAAATAACCGCCTTTAAAAGTATGCTTATAATTCCAGAAATGCCACCGTCATATTTTTTACAGTGTTTTTTTTTAATAACCGCCGTAAATTAGCGTCATGGAAGCTTTTTTTTTGTAGTAGTGTTTACAAGCCTCAACCTAACCCTAAAAATTAAATGTATAATATTCTAGAAATCCTAAAATTAAATGAAAATGATAGCTGATGGTAAAAGATAACATTCAATCAAAATAAAACTAAATTTTCCTAATAATTAAAAATATTTAAAATATAAAAAATTCCAATTAATCATTACTCCATACCCCATGACATATACATGTATATATTTATCTATCATTTTCTAACCATCTGATGAAACCAGACACACAATCCAGCAGTTCACCCTTTTCTTTTTTTTTCTTTTCAACATAAACAAGAAACTTCACAACCCAATGATCCCGTTGCTACCACCAAAGCATGAAATTATGGGCTTTGAAACTTAATCAGCCAAGAATCATTATAATATCACTCTTAAACTACATTCAAAACAGCCGCAACAACTATATATATATATATATATATATCGGTTCAATTCTTTCCCCCTTATCTTCATGAATTCGAGCCCCATGTACCAAAACCCTCATTTCTAGCTCTAGGACTGAACAATAGAACCAAAACTCACATGCAATCATTATCATCAACATGCACCAACATTTATTACCTGCCAGACTCAAATTGAATGCCATGATTATAAAAGAACCCAGACTCTGTTTCGCCAAGGACAAAACACAGCAAAAGTCCACATGCAACCCATTCAACACACTCCACAAGCATTGGCCCATTTTCATCTCAAACTTGCGACTTTCACCTCTACTTTTTGGCAACCAGAACAGAGAAGAAAAACAACACATGCAAGCTAGAAAATCAGCATGTAATAGAACCAAACACACGTGCATATCTTCCTTATTTCCCATTTTTTCTTTTTTCTCTCTAACTTTCAGATCTTTCATTATCCCAAATACACTCCATATGCAGAAATCAAGAGTAGAATGATGTCAAAAGAGCTTACCTCAGCTCAAAACTAATCTTGCATGCGAGATTGTTCCCATGGAACCACTCTTCGACGTTGACTCCCTCTCTCGCGTTCCTCTCTTCTTTTTACTTTGAGCAGCAGCAAACAAATGAGAATGGGAGGAGTGAATCAGATGGTTAAAAGGCCGGGCACACGTGTGAAGTGTGGCAGTGAAATTCCTGGACCAATTTGCCCCTCTATATTTCTTATTTCTTATTCCATCCTTCGCTTAAATTTCTTGAAATTAAAGAGTGAATCCAAAAATTAATCCATGGTATTTTATATGAATTTTCCTCATCCAATAGCTTTATTGACCCTTAAAATAATTCCCATAAAAATTTTGGGTAAAAAATCATCTCCAAGCTTCTTCTTTTTTTAAAAAAAAAAATTTCCACGGAAATAACCATTAACTCTAGAAATTAATCCTTAACCCATTTTAATAATTTTATATCTCAAATGGCTTCTTTATCACTTAAAAAATAATTTTCCTAAAATTTCCAAATGAATTAGAAACGTTTAAATTTTTTTTTTAGAATTTTCTAAGAAATTAATCCATTTTTGCACTAAAAATAGTTTTAAAGTTATTTAAACCACTTTTTGGGAAATAAACATTTTCATAAAATTTCTAAGTACTTAAAACTAATATTTCATAATTTTTTCCAATTTACATTCAAAGAGATAAATAATACTACCTCCGATCCTTAATATAAGACCTTGTTTAACTTTTATTTTGATCCTAAATATAAGAGCCTAATCTACTTTGTCTCCCATATTTATGTATTTTTGTCCAAAGTAGTTCTTCTAATAATGGTAGTTCTAGCTAATACATTTGATTAGCAAAGATATTTTAGGAAAGACAACATCTATTTATGACAAATAACTAACTTAACTTGTTTTCTTAATCTCCTTAAATTAGTTAACTAACTCTTATAATTACGACTGGAGATAGTAGAACGTATGGGGCTGAACTGTGTACGTCCTCGATCGTGCGTTCGTCTCAAGAACTAGATGTTAGCTACCTTACCTTGGAATTTATTCCAAAGTTCTCGTTGAAAATAGTTCTCTTTTTTTCTAGATTGGTCCGCTTGGTTTGTATGAACCTTCCAAAATGTCATGTGAATCCGGTGTGCTTACTTTTGTGGAGAGCGAAAGAAGACACTGCCATCAAGAACTCGGTCAAACTTTTATTTTGCGAGTTTCAAAATTAAAAAATATATATAAAGTTTTTTTTTAATTTTTCCCAATGAAAAAAGTTTAAGTGATTTGAGTCAATAAGTTTGCTGTTGGCGTTGAAATATGCCTTCAAGCCTTATACATGTATTTACAAATTATTTATCAACAAAGTTCTTATATGAATTAAAAAATTAATTAAATTTATCACTTTGTAAGATATGAGACAAGTCACACTGTTTTATTTATAGAAAAAGTCACACCAAGTTTAGAGATGCATGCATTTTTTTTCAAATAAAATGTTTAGTGGACGAAATTTATCATATTTACAAAAAAAAAAAAAAATACTTTTAACATAACAAATTTTTTATTACTCGTCCGATCCTTAATATAGAACCTAATTATTGAATTGGTTTTGGTTTTAAATATAAAACCTATTTTTTATATTTATCATTTTTTTTCTAAACTAACCTTATAGATACTTTCTCAATCATAATCAAGTAGAAGATGAAGAGATGATCTTAAGAAAGATGATTATAGTGTTTTAGAAAAAGCATGTCATATTTCTTATAATTAACTAATTTACTTAACTTTCTTAATCTAATCAAATTAGTTAAATAGATTTTATATTAAGTACCGAAAGTGTAATATATAATCTATATGAATAGCCGTAACGGGCGTGGACCCAACAATAACAGGACATCTAGCTTCAACGCCATATGCTCAAACTTCTTCAAATATACAGTCAGCAGCAAGATGAAAACTCACTCTGTCTTATAATTGGACCTGTTCACAAGTACAAATAACATCTTTCTTTCCATAAAGGTTCCATTTGTCTCGTAATTTGAACGTCTGTTCGTAGTCATTGTCCCGCTAGTTTCCTTATTCAGAAATCTTAGTTGTCTCTTGCTTAATTACGTGCTATACCTCCTTTTGTTTTTCTTAGTACTAAAAAATAGTGACAACTGGATCATAAAGTTAAATGGTACTTAGTAGTACGTACGACTCAAATTACATACAAGCATATTAACAAATGGACCTAATTAACATGCATCTTGCTGCAATTCCATGCATAAGCGCCCACACGTATCCAATTGTGCAGCTAGCTAGGTCCCGGCTGACCTTAAAAAAGCTACAATTAGACCTGTGCCTGTGAACAGGCAACCTTTTCTTCTAAGAAGTTCTACTCGTCTCGTTCGAACTTCCTTTAATTTCAAAGCAGCTGTCCAGCTTCTTCCTTGGAAAAAAAAAAATGTAATTCTCATTTGCTTAATTGTGGTATTAAAAAAATTTTGTTATTTGACTGCATCACGTTAATTTCCAAATACAAATAGAAACAGGCATACAATTCGACATTTCACAATAAAAGAAGCATAAAAAATTGCAGCAATTCTGCTGTCGTGCTTAATTAATTGTTTAAAGCACTACATTTCTTACGAATTTCTCCAGCATTACCAACCAGAACTTGAATTCTACCCATCTTGACCATTGCATCAGCGAAGCTTTGCTGAAACTGAGCAGTGTCAGATGCAACGGCAGTGACAATACTTTTGTTGACGTAGAAACAGCAAGGTTTTGATCAACAGATAGAACGCCATTTTTTTTTTTTTGAAGAATTTGCTTTTAGTACCGGTTATCCATTATGAATGGCGCTTGGTGTCCAAAAATCTACCAAACGCCTTTCCCACCGTGTGTCCACCCATAAGGCTCACCATGTCTTGTCGTCCGATTCCCTTCCTGGCAAAGAAATCCAAGATTCTGCACTGAGATACCTGGTCCTGACAAAGCAACCTCCCTGCTTCTAGAGACGAGCCCGTCACGTCGCCCGGTGTGAACCTCATATTTGGGTCCTCCGGCCAGAGCCACGGCGTCTCTGGTGGCTAGTGTTATGATATCAGCACATGACACCGTGGAAGGGCACGCTGCTTCAAGCCTTTCCTTCACCTTGTCGATGAAATCAAATCCTCGTACTCTTGCACCAGCGTCTTTCTCCGCCTCAGTGGAGTTTATCAGTAACGATGCATCGCAACCCTGCGATTCATGTTATTAATCAGTTAGCCAGAATAGTCAGCGAACTAGTCTCGATACTTATCACTATGATGAGCACCCCAAACTCATCAAATTTAAATCATTCATATCTCATGATCCAGATTTAATTTTTTTTATTTTTATTTATTCAAAATAATTATTTTAATATATATAAAATCTAAAATAGGATAATATCTTAATTGTCATTCTTTTAAAAAATAGTTTTTTATTTAGAAATAATTAATTAAAGATTTTAAATTTAGACTATCCAAATGAGATATAGACGGCCCAAATCTGATGAGTTCAGGGTGCTCATAAAATGATAAGCATTAAAACTGGTTCTGAATAATTAGTAAGATGTGGAATGATCACTCAAATTTTTAAACAGGTAATTAAAATATGGAATTAATGCTCACTCTTAACCTTATCCAATAATTTTAAGACTAGTAATTTCCATTTCCACCCTCCCCTCTCTCCATATTTTGTTCCCACAATTTATAACATCTTTCAAACAAACTCAATAAAATGAGATACATATCCCCATGCTCTGTGTGGCTTTTTATTGACCACTACAATAAGATGTACCAACAATGACAATCCAAGTCTAATCATGCACAAGGTAAACTTCAACGTAAAATTTAAAATATATTTATCTTCGAAGATTTTACATAGTATACGACACTTGTATATGGGAACTGTGATTATGGGGTGTTTGGTATTTTAAAAAAAATATTTTTAAAAATTATATATTTTTAAAATCAAAATAAATTCTTTCATATATTTATTTCATATGCTATAAAATTATTTTTAAAATCATTTAGCTAATTTTGTAAAGCAGGAGGGTTTTTTGTTTTGATACCATAAGACCGAGAGGCGGTGGTACGGTACCTGAGGTAAGGCCCACAGTGGGCCTAAAAGTACGTGGAGAGAGAATTGGGTTCTTTCCCACGTGGATAGTGACGTGGTTCTAGGGGGCCAGACTGTAGCAGGGTGGCCCCACCTTGCCCTCTCGTGGACCCCACCCACTTCCAAATCCTTACCGTTCTGTTCCTCTTTCGTTTTCTGCTAATTTCTGATTAAGCACCAACGTTCTGTACTTTTGTCTCAGCATCTTTTTTTTGAAAAAATTGCAATTACGTCCCATCTAAGGGAATTAAATATAAAAAAGTCTCTTAAAACTATGAAATTATTCTAAAATTCTAATAGACCTTTTTGTAATAAATTTTATTTGCTTAATTAGCAAATTATCCTTTATTTTTTTAAAGTTTACATTGACAACTGAAAGAGCAGTGATTGACAACTCAAGATGTAAGGATTAACAACTATCGCTGCTGGTTTGACAACTTAGTGTGTGATATGCTGAGAAAATGTGTTGTCAAACCAGCCGCAATAATTATCAATCCTTACATCCTGAGTTGTCAACAACTGCTTTTTCAGTTGTCAATGCAAACTTTGAGAAAATATGTTATCAAACTAGTCGTGATAGTTGTCAATCATTACATCCTGAGTTGTCAACCACTGCTTTTTCAATTGTCAATGCAAACTTTAAAAAAAAAAAGAAAGATAATTTGGTAACTAAACAAATAAAATTTATTTCAAAAAAGTTTTTCAGGATTTCAGAATAATTTCATGATTTTAAGAGACCTTCTTACATTTAATTCTCTTAGGTGAAATCTAATTGCAATTCTCCCTTTTTTTTTCCCTCATTCCCGCTAAGTGCAGTTTATGGAGTCCACCGATTAAAACCTGTACGACGTAAATATGGGCAGTAGCCATGGTTTTGTACTGTAGTGTACGAAAAGGAAAGCAAGTGGGTTAGACAATTCAAAAGCATTGAGACATTCTTTATCTTTTTTGGCAAACAGGTAAGATAAGATAAGCGAACAGAAATGATTAGAAAAGACAAAAATCAAAAGTCAGCTTGTTCAATGTTGACGAATCTTAATATAAGACTTATTTAATTAATTTGATTAGATTAAAAAAATTAAATAAATAAATTAATTATAAAAAATATGAAATATTTTTTCTAAAATACTATAATTGTAACATACTATTTTTTAAAAAAAATTACAAATCAAAAAAATATATAATATTTTTATTATTTTTTAAACAAAAACTACCATTTTTTCCCACCGACAGTGGAAAAAGGAACGGGGGTTATTAATGAACATAGAAAAAAAAAAAAAAGGAGGGAGGCGTGGCTGAAGAAATAGGATGAGGTGTAGTAAATGAAAGTTGAAAAAGAGGAGGAATATTAAATGAAGAAGAAAGAAATGGAGAGTGGGTGGTGGTTGGAGGATGAGGAAAATAGAATAAAAGGGAGTGGGGAGAACGAAGAAAGTGAGAGAATGAAAGAGAAAGAGAGTGGGAGAAGAGAAGGAAAGAGTGAGAAGAGCTGCTGAAGGTTAGAATAAATTTTGAGAATCATTTAGGTACATAAAATTACATTTTTTTATCATATTTTTTTATAAATATTTTCTATATATTTAGAGCTTTATATTATTAGCTTTATTATCATGTTTAGAGAAAATTTTACTGTTTGGGTATAGAGTAAATAAGGAGTTTTGATAATGTATGACGGTAAAAATTTAAAGATACATTATTAAGAAATTTTAATTGGTTTATATTTACTCAATGACTGTTTTGAGAATTTAAATTAAGATTTTAGTTGAAAAATTTGTTATTAGAAGATATAGAATATTTTTACCGATTAAATTTAAGTAAAATAATTTATTTGAGTTATTTAATATATCATTGAGGTTTTAATCGGTTTAATTGAATAAGTTAAAGATATATTTTTGAAATAATTTTTGAAGGCTTGAAAAATTGTAAATTGAGAATTTTGTGAAATTAGATAAAGCAACAGTTTGTTTATAATTTAAAAAAAAGTTGTTTGGTTTGAAGAAAAATTTTAAAGGAGACTATAATAAATAATTCAGAATTTTAATATAAAATATTTAGATTTTGTGTAATAAAAATATATTTACTTAAGTTGTTAAATTTAAATAGCCTTATATGTAAATTATATTTTTCAAAATAATATTATATCTATTATAAATGCCTAGATTTGGGAGAGTTAATATATTTATGTAATTTTGGTTTAGAGGGTAGTCTTAGAATTTTAGAGTAGTTTTGGAGTAGTTGAGTTTATATTAATAAATATTTATGTGCAATTTTGTAGATTCTTAAGAATTTTAGAGTAATCTTTGAGTGAATATTTGTAAGCTAAAGAGTACCAGGTAACTCTGAAAATTCTTTCTCATACATGTGAATTGTGTATGATTATATTGTGGATTTACTAATTTTTATATTACTGAAATATAATATTATGATTTTTTAAAAAATAAATGTTTTGGTATGTTACCTGATTTTATTAAGATTTGTTGCTAGTAATTATGACCAATATGTAAATATATTAATAGTTATGAAATTATCATGAGTTACTATTAAATAGTATATGAATTTTATTGCTATCTTATTTTTAATAATATATTTGGGAATATTTATGATGTACCATTATTTGTATATGACATGCATTGTTGGGTTAAGGATAAAAGGAGATTGTATGGATATAAAATTACCACGTGGTATGCCCTCACTCGGTGCATAATGGATGGCACTTGTCAAGGCCCCTTCTTCCATGTTTTCCTTTGGCCGGGAATTCATTGGAGCTATGGGACATGTGACACCTTCCTATTCACAAAGGAGGGGAGCCATAATCCGAGCTTGAGCTCTATATCTTTGGCCGAATATATCTCTAGTATCGGTGAGTTTGGAATAATTCAGTAAAATGAATTAGTTCCTGTCGGACTATGTGTTAGCCTATGGCTTCAGTTAGCGGTATAAGAGTGGACAGTGATATAAGGGAGGTAGCATATTGCATTATTTTTGGATATATTGAAAAAAATGAAATTGAATTGAATGTATCAAATCCGTGATTTTTAATATATACATATATACATACATATGAACAGATTTTTGGGTTATCATATATGGTTTGCTTATATAGGTTAGAATTTCAGTAGTTACTGAGACGTTTGATCTCACCCCCTATATTAACAATTTTCAAGCGAAGGATCTAGTAGGAATCAAGGGAAGGCACCAATGGAGTGAGCCGTGAAGGCTTTTGTGCTTCTCAAGCACATGCTATGTTATATTTTTATTTGCCATGACTATAAGACTTTAATAGTTTATTTTGTTGTTATGTTAGAAACATTTTGAAATTAGGACTTGTTTGGAGTATTAGTAACGTATAGATTTTTATATGAAATATTGTATCGAATATATGATATAATTATGAGAGGTGTTACAATAATCATCTTTTTTAATATCCTTTCCCCATCATTTACTTAATTATAGTTAAAGAAGTATTCATAAGAGTAATTTAGAAAAAAAATGATAAATATAAGAAATAGCTTTTATATTTATGACTAAAATTAATTTAACAATTATATTATATATTATATACGAGATGAGTAGTATTTTACAGAGAGTAAGAGAATCACAACTAAAAAAATGGTAAGCTTCGGTTTCCATGCACACAACTCCTTTGATTTGTATCTTCTCCCTTTAAAAGGCATATGTCCATACACCACTTCTCTCTCTAATAACAGGGAGTGCTATTGCGCACTTCTCTTAACCTCACTATTTGCTGGACCTGGCATTTCTCTGCTGCCATTTCTTTTTAAAATGGAATTTAGAAGGCAGCACTACTATAAAATAATATAATATATGCTTTTAAATACTACTTCTTTTAAGTCATATAAAAGTTAGTTTGATTTTTAATTTGATCCTAAATATAAGGTCATAATTTATTTTATTTCTCATGCTCATCCATTTTTTCAAATTAATCCTTATAACAGTCGCACATATTAAAGATTAAATTAAATTGTAATTTTAACTAATACATATGATTAATAATGATATTTTATGAAAGACAACATCTATTTAATATAAATAACTAACTTATCTAATTTTTTTTAATCTAGTCATGTTATTTAATTAGTTCTTATATTAAAAATCAAAAGTAATATAAACTCGTTTAAACAGTCAAATTCAATCCAGTGGTCTAGAGTTACAATAGTGTCTCCACTTAATGGACATGGGAGAGAGAGTCGCTTTTGCGTTTGTTAAGCATTGACTGCCATTTAAGTTATGATCATAATATTAGTAGTTGTACTATTAGCTTGTTGTCATGAATAACACAAATTAATACTCCCTCCAGTTTTATTTATAAGTTTTATATTTGAAAAATAGTATACTTCATTTTATAAGTTTCAATTTAAGTTTGTCATAATATTTAATGCATTTTTTTTAGTGCTGTCCTTAATTATTCATCTCTTATATATCACATTTCTCTGTACATTTTTTTTTATCATTTTTTCATTTATTATAGGAGTATATTTAAAAACAAAAATTTATTTCTAAACTATTTATTAATTTTAATTAATTTTAACTAATTATTTATTATCTGGGAATTAGTTATAAGCATAGCAGGGAGTATTAGTAATGATGTGCAGTCTTGCTTATTAAATCATTAAATTCCCATATCCTAACTCGTTCATTCATTGTCCGTACTTAAACCAGTCAAATTTGTGCGTTTTGTTATGAATATTGCATGAGTGGATATCCATAACCCCTAACCCTTAGAATTCTCATAGGATTCCTTACCTTCAAGTGTCATAAACTACATAACCTCCCTAATGAATGACTTGGGAGGAGTTTCTCATTGTTAATGCCATTATAATGTTCTTTATTCCTTTGTAACTTTAGTATAGGACTTCAATGCTTGGAGGCCTATAAATAGAGAGCATGCATGAGGCATTTGTACCTTGAACCAAAGTGAATGAGAAAAGGTCATTGTCTTCTTGTCTCTTACTTTCTTTTCTACTCTTCATTCTCCTTATTTCTTGTTTATAACACGTTATCAGCACGACCTTGCTATGAAAATTTGAGGTATAAACCCTTCGTAAGATGATGCACTCTTCTCATCGTCTAATTATCTCCTTACTCAATCATCACAATATATATCTATGTATTGACTACATATTAACTTTATATTATCTCCTTTCTTAATTATCATGTTTTATACTATATAATGTTACTCTATTGTTCTTTTCTTTACATTTTAATTTTTTTTCATTATGTTATATATATATATATTTTATTTTATGTTAACATTCTGTTTTATTTTAAGTCATTTTATTTTTGTTGTCACATTGTAAAATATTATGTTTGTTTCAAATAATTGATGTAATTTATGTATCATCTCCATTTGGTATCTATGGTGTTTTACATTATTTTATCTATGTTGTACTAACTCTCATATACATATAATTTACAGTGTCCCATGTTGTTTTATCTATATTGTACTAACCCTCATATACATATATACATATATATATAATTTACTGTTGTTTTATCTATATTGTACTAACTCTCATATACATATATATAATTTACACTGTTTATATTTTTTTTTCTATCATTATATTTGTTTGTATTTATTTATGTTGTTTATATATGTTGTTTATATAATTTATTTATAATAAGGCCTAATAATTTATATGTTGTTTATTCATTATTTATCAATTTATATTTATTTCGTTTATCTCACTGTAGCATTATTTTTATTTTTATTTTTAGTTTAATTTTTATTATATATTAGTTAGTCTATTGTAATATTTATATATTTATTTGTATTACCGCATTTACATTACCGCTTTCCCCCTTCCCCCTATATATATTTATATATACATTGTCTCTATATTATTATT